GAGGACAAACCATCTCGGTGTATGGCACTGCCAAGATACGTGAATGATACACACACACACACACACACACACACACACACACACACACAAACACAAACTGACCGTGATAAACGCAGAGAGTGTGGTTGCTTGCACACGCACGCACGCAAACACACACACACAAACAAACCTGTCCTGTCCAGCCACTACCACTAGGCCAGTCTAGGGTCACGTGGGCGCCGGAGAGGCAGCAGAGAGAGAGAGAAAGAGCACGCCACCCGATGGCGCTCCAGATAAGAAGACTAGTCGGAACCGGTGAGAGCACACACAGCTCAGACCTCCGACATGCCCATCGCGGAAGCGATGATAGCGAACAGGTATGTTAGACATAGCAACTTGTGCTGGGATTATACCATTCAACAGCTTGCAAGGCTGATGGATTGACCGCCACTATTTTCTAGCCTGGTATCCACCACACAGCTGATTGAAGCACACACACACACACACACACACACACACACGCACACACACATACACCCCCCCCCCCCCCCCCCCTCCCCACATGAACACGATGTCCCCGAGCGCAAACAACCACTCGAAGAAGAAAGTGTAGGAGCTTGAGCACCCACACGCACACATACTTAAAAGGTGTGGGCGCAAACATGCGCTTAAACACAAACAAAAAACAGAAACACAATCGGCCTAACAGACGCGCGCATGATCGAACACACGCACACATGCAGGCGCACACACGTGCAGGCACACCAAGTGAGGGCACTGGTGAACATACACACACACATGCAGACACCTGCACACACATGCACACCTGGTCCTGGTCCTGGTAATCACTGCCATTACGGTCGCGTGTCCCCTTGCGGGGCCGACAACATGGAGCGATGAGCTACGGCAGAGAGTCGGTTGTCTACCGAGAAGTCAGGAACCATGTTCAATTGGCACGACGAGAGAACCATCTCTGGAAGCGATGGATTTGGAAGCCACGAGTAGAGCGCCAGCACCGACCACATGCCCCACAGTGGGCCTTGCAATACACACACACGTGCACACACGTACACACATATAACCACCAGAGCAACATCTTTAAAAATCCAATTCTCCATGATTACACAACCAAGGACAAAAAAACACAATTACATACAACATTGTAAACACACATAGAAATTACAAGCAGTTCATAAATCAATGATGAAAAAACAACATAGCATAGCAGTAGCAGCAGATATGATGATAGGCATGAAAACATCAGAAATCTATTCACAACAGTCCTCAACATTAGAGTAGTAAGCAGGCAAGCAGCAAGCAAAAACATAGTATGTACAAGAAGAAAAGCAGGCAAAAAACCTATCGATGGTCAGGGTTTAGGGTAGGGGGTATACAGGGGAACAAAACAATACAAAACTTTACATTGTCTCAAAAGGTATAACAAATTTACTGTGTTTACATGACTGTGTGGTCAAAATACAACACAACATAGATTGAAATATTCTTCCACTCACACAACCAGTCTAGAATCATACACCGTACAAGTATTTTTGATACCCCTTCCTGGTGAACACAGAGACAAGTTGATAACAAACATACGCACTCAAGCCACAGCCGATCACCCACAGTTCCCTTAACCGTCGATGCACCTTCGCTGCTTCAATGAATCTCAGCCCATCGGCCTCACTACCCACAAACACATTCCCATCCAACCGCAACACTTCCAGCTGTGTACAATGCTCCAACATACCACAGACTACAGACAACGGTGCAGCAGCATCACGATACATGCACATGCTGACATTGACAGTGCGTACATTCTTACACTGAGTGAGTGCACGGCACACCAACACAAAACCACTCCGCGCAACAACAGGGTTTCTACCGACATCCACAGACCTAAGACTAGCAGACATGACTGAAATCACGGAGGACAATGCCTGACCATCATGAATAGCATTCCCCCATAGACACAGTAGATGTACACTGCTACACCTCTGTAAGCCTGCTGATAAGCTGTGAAATGACTCATCGCCAATGCTACAACGGGCGAGGTCGACTTCCTCCAAATCACTACATGTATAGCCACACAGTAAAGAACTGAGAGCAACACATTCATGAGAAGAAAGAGAAATGCCATTGAGAATGAGCTTTGATGAAAGCATAGCACGGAAGAAAGGGTGTGTCCAGTTGCAGGACACACCGCGATACTCTGCATGCTCATGATATGCCACCACAAGATGAACAAACAACCTACCTATGGGGGATTCCCTAAAAGAACAGGCAGCATCAGCTAGACTTACAATGCCAGAAGGAGCAGCTTGCAGGGATTCATGACTCGGCAGCATAGCAGCGGGACGAAGGAGTCTCTCGCACAGCCGCGCCAGCTCGGCATCCACCTGGGATAGCGCTTCCAGCAGCACAGTGCCATTTGCAACACTGCCGTTCTCCATCCACACCGTCAGGAGAGTCTTTAGGAATAGCGCGTCTGTGAGGTCTCGGCTGGATGGCATGGAACGGCGCACAAGTTGCTCACCATGGCCCTTGCCACGGTCATGCCGAGGAATGAGGAGAATGTCGGCGAGAACTGTCATGTGCTCAAACTTCAGTACCTCGCAGAGACGGTAGTGGACCTTTTCCATCTCCATCTCACCGGTCAGGACACTTGAGTCGTTGCGCATGTCCTCGGCTAGCTTAGCGGCGGTGGCAGTGCGTCCATAGGCTGCAGCAGCATATTTGGCGGCAGTAGCAGCATGTTTGGCTGCAGTCGCACCAGAGTATCGTCCGACCTCAATGCTAGGATCCAGTGGTAGGGGATTCGCACACTGCATACGCCATAGCTCCTTCATGATGGTCAGGGACACGTCTTCCGGGCATAGAGCAATGAAAAACTTCCAGAACATTGCCATATGGCCATCGTACGCGCCCAGTCGCTGTACCAGTGCAATGGCGTGATGTCTTTCTTGCACCACGCATTCTGCCTGAAACCATGCCGCCAGGAACTCCTGCAGTGACAGATGGCGGAAGCGGTATTGCCGAGCGTCCGTAGACACTGTGCCCTGACATGTTTGCAGAAGACCCAAGTTTTTTGCATCCTCGCTCAAGTGGGAGTTGATGATGTCGGACGTGTTGAACACCATCCTTTTCACCAGCAGCATGCGAAACGCAAAGCGTCCCAGTTCCTGTAGCGACTGGACCAATTTGCTGGGTGCCAGTGAAATCGACTCGCAAACCGCACCACCAGCACGCTCTACGACTCGACGCAGTAACGATTCGTACAAGGATGCACTGCACTTCCACACGGCATTGCTGCTCTTGAAAAGCTCACATGTTAGGGCTGCAAACATGGGAGTTGCCATAAGACATGACACATCTGGCTTGCTCTGGAGCTCTGCCAGCAGAATTTCAGCGCGCTGCTTACCGAGAACCTTCTCTGCGTACACCCTCACGTTCTCCGGTGAGAAACCCAGCACTTGGATCTTCTGCTGATATTTCCCCCACCGCGATAGGTCATATGCATCTTGGCATGGACGGCTTGTGACGATCACGTGTGTCTTCACCATGCCCTCACGTTTCAGCAAGTCTCTCATGAACTTACTGCAGCTTGCGAAATCACATTCGTCCAAACCGTCCATGACGACACATAGGCGGCTTGGAGAATCTTCGAAGTAGCTTGCCAGCTCCAATATCTCAGTCTGCGACAGGCCCTGGCTCGTTAGTTTCACAGCCAACAGCTCAGCAAGACTAGTGGCAGCTCTCACCTCCTTTTCTCGGAGCTCCAGTCCCACGACCAGATCGAATTCCTCCTGCCACAGTTCGCCTCTGCTCCACAGGTATATAACCATGAGCAGAAACACTGTGGTCTTGCCACTGCCAGCAGATCCGTAAGCCAGTACATTCCGTAACACCTTGCCACTGAGATGTCTCAACTGGGTCGCTGTTGCTGCTGCTTCTGGTGCTGCACGAAACAGGTTCTTCAATTCAATTCGATCGGCTTTGCTAAATTGCACTGCGTGTTCACGGCTATCGGCATACGTCGAGAACGCTTCATCAAAATCTCTTTTCAATTCCCGTTCACGCACTAAGGCCAAATTCACGAATATCTGTTCGAGCGGAATGTGATCATCAGAAGCGAGGCCGCCGCTCAGCTGAACTCCCGACTCTTCGGCCTGATCCAGCAACTTCTTTTTAGCTTTCACCAGCGAGGGCAGCAGATCCTTGCGCTTTGCGGCGCGGTCCTCGGCCTTCGCATCCATTGCTTTCAAAACACAACAACAGGTGTGTCACTGTGTGTGTGTGTGTAATTAGGCCCAGACAGATTCTGCTCCCGTCGCCTCGATATTTTGAATCAAACTGACATCAGGGTGAAGACGGGGCCGCGGCCGCGCCCGGGCTGCGCAGTGCATGTACATGTACTTTTTTTGCGTGACTTCGGCTTTTTACATATCCGGACGCCCATAATCCGCGATATTCATGTTAAAACAAAATGGCGTCACGATTTTATTGAAAGTGATAGTTGGTGGTACCAGGGAGTCGTAAAATACCAGGGAGTCGTAAAATACCGGGAGGCGACACGAGATGCACAACCGCGTCGGATGATTGCCTCAGCTCGGGCACGAGTGCTGAGACCTCACGCGCTGCATGGCGAGGGACTTCCCATGAGAGGTCAAAGCGGCGCAGGTCATGCAAAAGGACGCGTTCGCTGTTTGGTCCAAAAAATTTGAAAACTCAATAAAATTATTCTGCACACAACGAATCCAGTGTCAGCAGTTCGTTTTGTTTTTCTAAGTAATAATACTTTGTGCCTTGGCCTTCGAAGTAATGGATGATGGAGCTTGACAGAGATGACTGCCAAAGTGATGAGTCCACCGTGGAAGATGTAGATGACGCCACGTATTCACTTGGTGACCTGAGTTGTGGGGATGTTCAGCTGTGGGCAACAGGTGAGATTCTTTCGTTTGCATGTTTTTGTCTCTTCCTTGTGGACACGAATGTATAATCTGTAGCATACCTAACTGCCCGAACTGACCCGATAAATTAGGTGGTCGACACCATCCTTTTCATCCTAGTCTGCCCACGATGCATTGTCTGTTCACTGTGACAGGATATTTATTGAAGTCCTGAAAATTTACGTGTGTACCTAGTATGTATCATCACCGTAGATGATGTAAACCTCCATCCTCAAACCATACTTTGTCTATGTGCAGATCGATGTAAGAGTGGTAGTGCCATCATGGTGTACAGGCCTATGGAAGGTGCAGTGATCCATGGAATTTGCAAACTGCTGACAATGAGACAGGCGAGTGTTACTGAGGCGACGGAGTCATTCCTGCATGTTATTACGACACGGTTACACAAGGCATCAGGTACTGCAAATCTGCTATGCCAGGAAGTGTGCCAGCTGAAGGCATGCAAGGGTGCTGATATTTCGCAAGCATGGCAACAAATGCTGTCCGTCATCGCAACAGCTATTCCCGAAGTGAAAATCAATTGTGAAGGTCAGTGCGTTTTGCATGCATGTTGGAAAAAAATTGGCTTCTGACTAGGTATGCAGACTAGGTATGCAAACGCTGGCTTTTGAATACTAGTACAGTCTCTGCAACCACCAGTCCTTATATGTTGTCTTTTTCTTTTCTCTTCTTCAGATTTGGAAGTTACATCTGCAGTGCTAGCGAATCTGATAAGCTACCTGCATGCCACGGCTGCCGCTGCTATCAGGAAAGCGTCAATAGCACCATCCAAAGCTGCTGAAGCCATCCCCGAACCGGTGATTGACAATTTGTCTCACCTTGCTGAAAAGTACCATGGTGGTTGGTGCTTGGTGGCCGTGCGGCGTGAGCTGGAAGGAGCAAGGTGTCGCAACGACAACTTGCTGCAGCTTATACCTTTATTTGGCAAGGATGCCGTGACAAGCCTTCAGCCTTGTTTGGAGAATTTTGGAGCCATTCTCCAAACATCTGAGCATCAAGCGTTGCCCAGAAATGACCAACCGCTCCGTGACCATGGCTATGCAGCACCCATAGCTGCAACACAGCATGAAGAGCAGAAGCATACGTTTGTACTTGTGCCTGCTGCATGCTCCTTGTTTCACCAGCTTAATTTAATAACCCATTCCCAGTTCCCCAGCATGCTCAACACACACAAGCAACACGCCGTGAGTGCAATGCAAGCTCTGTATAAGACAAAATACGACACAGATAAAAACAACTGAACCAGTGATATGTGAATTTTGCGCTTGTGTGTGCACGAGCATGCATGTGTGTGTGTGTGTGTGTGTGTGTGTGTGTGTGTGTGTGTGTGTGTGTGTGTATGTATGTGTGCTTGTGTGTATGCTACTGTGATAAGCGGTACAAGCAGTATACAGGATATTGACGGGTATTCACCTTGAGTGCATTCGCCGATAGTGTGACTTTCGTCGCAGAGAACTTTGCTCAGTCGGTGAGGCGACTCGGCCTTACGTTTCCTGAAGGCAATGTGTTCAGAACAGTTATGAACAGCTATGAACAGTTAAGAAATGACAAATATTGTTTGCAGTTCATGGGCCATATAGATGTGAAACACTTTGAATGCAGAAGAATGAGGATAGTGGCATCAAATACTGCATGGATTCTGTTTGATATGCTACTTTTTTTTCCCTTCCATGGAAAGGTGAGTACATCGTCGAACTTCATCTCGAAACTTCACACAAACCTAGAATGGAACTTGGACAACATGAAGGGGCCATGGGCATGGTGTGTTTAGTGGAGAACTATTCCGAAAACAGGGTGTCATTCGCATTGACTCAATTCAAATTTGAGTACATTTCGTGAATAACTTACCTTCACATTCCGTCGTCTCCAAAGCAGTGAACTTCCAAAAAAAATTTAAAAGCCACGGCTCAACCTAAGGTAATGCGTGGTACGTATCAGAAACAACCAGCTTTCGCTCTGGAGATCCAGAATAGCCTCGAAGCATATAGCAAAAACAATTGAGAAAAAGAAGATGACGACGACGTTTCAATCACGCTTCAAATTTCGCGGGTCGAGTGCGGCAATCCTCGGATCGTGAAATGTGTGGCGTGTCGCCTCCCGGTATTTTACGACTCCCTGGTGGTACGAGTGTTCAAAACCATTTGAACTTCATACTGTTCGTCTTCTTTTTGACATGCTCTCTTTCCATCGTCCTTAGCTTTTGTTTGTTGAGAGCTGTTTTGGCTTTCTCCTATACCTCTGGGGGATGCCAAGTGATGGTTTTGAGATGCTGGTGATGGCTGTGAGCGAGAGTTTGCCGATCGGCGTCGTCCTCGCTATAGCGATGAAAATACTAGTTACTGCGCACCTGGCAGATATCACAACACATCGGAGCGTCCAGGAGCAAAGGAATCTTGGGTTTTCACTGGAATCTCGTTCCTCCAGCATCGTGTAGCCCACCGTCGGTGAATGGCGGTCCAGAAAGGTCGAACCTGGTCTTCTGCTGCATCTCGCAGTCCTGCGGGGCACACTGAATACGCCTGTCATGTATTCTACAAATAAAAATCATGAAGTAGTGGACTTTACAGTGATGAGTCTATCCTGTATGCTGCAAAAGACGCAAGAAATGTGACTGGTGTCCGTACACTGGACGCCAATATCATCCCAGTCTTCTCCTGCAGGATCTGTTTGACATTGACATTATGCAGTAGGTCGGCATTGACCTGGTTTGGCAGCTATCGTAATAGTATCCGCCTGGTTGGATGTAGCAGGTTGGTGTTTGCTCGTCGTCCAGTCCGGAATTTTCTTGTAACTCACGGTGGAGTACGCGCAGGGTTTGTGATCATCCCTGTTCACTTCAATATTATCAAAGACAACGTTCCCTGTGTCACTCATCTTATCCTGAGTACTGAATTTGCTGACAATATTGCACCACACTTGTCACAACCTACCGCCACTGCTGGCGGTGGCGACTGGTTCGTCAATGGCGGTGACCAGGCTGACTGACTAGCTTCGAGACAGCGGCCTCGTTGTCAACCCCGCAGCAGCCTAAATGTTGATTTTATCGATCCAGCTTCAGCGCCATGCCATGTTGACGATGCCCTAGTGACTGTGTGTCATGGATTGCCTTGCCATCAGCGGTCATTGCCGTCCACCTTGATGCAGCCCTCAACAACTGGCTCAGCCCATGGGAGACTCAAGTGGACAAAGTTGTTGCCAAAGTAGCTCAGAAGATTGGTGCATCGTGGTGTAGGTGAGCACATAACTAGGACTTCCCAGCGCCTATTTGTCCAGGCTGCGATACTATGTGACATGCTGTACTGCACATTCTTTTCAGCACTGCAAGGCCGGCAGCTGGACCGACTGCAGGGGCCGGTCACATGCAGGCCGCCTGTTGCCAGTGCAGCATTCTGGAACGTTCCTTCCTTCTGAGATCCGTGGAATAATAACTTTCTTTGCTTCAAAGCAAGTTGCTTACCTTTCTGTTGTGCTCCCAGTGTCCTTACAACAATAACCTACAGCAATGTTTTATTTTCCTTTCCATTCCCCAACCAATGAATACTACGATGTCGATTCTATTTCTGAATACTTTAGTGTGTGCCCGCGCACGCACGTGTGTGTGTATACCTCACTCGCCACTCGAAGTTCTGTTCCCCATCACTGGAACACTGCCTGTTCTTTCAGGACCTGCCATCATCTGCGGATGGGCATTCAATGATTGTATTGTGTGTGTGTTTCATTCAGAATCAGATCCGCTATCGTTGCTATAAGAGAAAATCTGTGGGTTCACATCCAGTGCATTTGTAGATTTGCGTGCTTTTCTCGCCACGGGCGCATACATGGGACATTGTGTGTGTGTGTGTGTGTGTGTGTGTGTGTGTGTGTGTGTGTGTGTGTGTGTGTGTGTGTGTGTGTGTGTGTGTGTGTGTGTGTGTGTGTGTGTGTGTGTGTGTGTGTGTGTGTGTGTGTGTGTGTGTGTGTGTGTGTGTGTGTGTGTGTGTGTGTGTGTGTGTGTGTGTGTGTGTGTGTGTGTGTGTGTGTGTGTGTGTGTGTGTGTGTGTGTGTGTGTGTGTGTGTGTGTGTGTGTGTGTGTGTGTGTGTGTGTGTGTGTGTGTGTGTGTGTGTGTGTGTGTGTGTGTGTGTGTGTGTGTGTGTGTGTGTGTGTGTGTGTGTGTGTGTGTGTGTGTGTGTGTGTGTGTGTGTGTGTGTGTGTGTGTGTGTGTGTGTGTGTGTGTGTGTGTGTGTGTGTGTGTGTGTGTGTGTGTGTGTGTGTGTGTGTGTGTGTGTGTGTGTGTGTGTGTGTGTGTGTGTGTGTGTGTGTGTGTGTGTGTGTGTGTGTGTGTGTGTGTGTGTGTGTGTGTGTGTGTGTGTGTGTGTGTGTGTGTGTGTGTGTGTGTGTGTGTGTGTGTGTGTGTGTGTGTGTGTGTGTGTGTGTGTGTGTGTGTGTGTGTGTGTGTGTGTGTGTGTGTGTGTGTGTGTGTGTGTGTGTGTGTGTGTGTGTGTGTGTGTGTGTGTGTGTGTGTGTGTGTGTGTGTGTGTGCGTCTGTGTGTATGGGGATATTGTCTGTATCGGCTTTTGGTACTAATGTTCAGGTCTGTGCTTGCATGTGTGAACATGAAATTGTTCGGTTCTGTGCATGCTATTGCTATGTTGTATATTATTGTATGTATGTGTCCACGAACAGTGTAGATGAGCGTGGAGAGTGCATTCATCCCTCATCAACCACTTCTCCTTGGGCTACGAGAGTTTTTTCTGCGTACCTCTCATTTTTGATGGGGATTTGTATGCAAAATGTCACTAAAAGCGCCATTTCGTTCTTATAAAAGCACGGATGACCGCGATTGGCCCATATGTTGTAGTCTTTTGGACGCTGAGTCGACTGGTTTTGGTCCGAAAAGGCTGCGATGCAGCGTTCCTCCCTTATTCCCAATCGAACATGGTTGAACAAGCGGTCACGTGCTCCTGGGTGCCCAAATCACCTGGTCACCACGCCAGCAGGCGACAACTTTCACACCAAGGTTCAACTCGAGTTCAACTCGAGTGACAGGACTGCACCCGAGAAAGGTCAAACAGGCTAGTAAGTTGTACCCTGCAGGCACGGTGACCAGGTGACTGGTGTACGCAGGAGCACGTGACCGCTTGTTCAACCATGTTCGATTGGGAATAAAGGAGGAACGCTGCATCGCAGCCTTTTCGGACCAAAGCCAATCGACTCAGCGTCCAAAAGACTACAACATATGGGCCAATCGCGGTCATCCGTGCTTTTATAAGAACGAAATGGCGCTTTTAGTGACATTTTGCATACAAATTTGTATTTGTATTTTGTATTTTTATCATTATCTCATGGCACATCATGATGACGGCCAATAAAACTGAGACAAGGGTGAAAGCCAACCACAGCAGTAAAACAGATAAAAGAATACAAATAAGAGGCAAAGAAGGCAGAGGAGGAGACAAACCAGCAGGATATACATGAAACCTATAATTGAGCAGAGATTTTAGCAACAAAATTATCCATCGACGTGCTGGTCTTGGCCTGCGTTGGTAATGTTGCCCAAAACACATAGCCAGCAAAGATCGGGGATCTAGTGAATAGGGTGGAGGCAGCGCGTGGGAGACTGAGTGAGTTCCGGGTATTCCGTGTTTTGGAGAACCAATTATAAGCCTGCATATGCAAGGGTATTTTATTTAGTAATATTTTATGTATGAGAGCACAGAGGTGGTACTTATGTCGAGTGGAAAGGGGACTGATCTTGGCAATTTCGTAAAGACTAGCGGAGGGAAAGCGACGATCTTTGCTAAATAAGATTTTAAGGAGCATGCGGTTATGGGTTTCTAGCTTGTTCAATACAGTAGTAGTTATGCCATACCAAGCAGTATCACAGTAGTCAAGTAAGGGCAATATATAGCAACGATAAAACAAGCGTTTGCAAGAAAGAGGAAGATGTCTACAGTGGGCTTGAAGAGCCCCAAGGATGGAGCTTGTGCGCTTGCAGACATACTGCACATGGGGTGACCACGACAATTTAGAGTCAATAATAACGCCAAGATGCTTATGCTCTTCAACAATACGAATAGCAACACTTGAAGAAGGAAAACAAAGTGGCAGGGAAGGGGGAGAAGGGGAAATGTACATAGCTGCCGTTTTATCAACGTTTGGCTGCAACTTCCAATCATGCATCCAGGTTATAACTTTCCCAATGCTATCGTGCATGGCTTCGTGCAGGCGTATAGCGCAAGCATTGGAGCAAAGCAGAGCTGTGTCGTCA